ATGAAAATATTGTCGGGCATAAACCGGTCCGTGGTGCAAAAAAGGTTGGAGACCACTGATCTTAATTGTTGTGACGCGTGTTCGAAACGCAGAGAGGTGCGCTCGATTTGCCACACGGAGAGTAAAGCACGAGGGAGGGGCTAATAATCGGCTCAGTCATTTTTAATGATCGTTGAAAGCCCAGATCGTAATCGAGATTAAAATTCAATTAATTGAGCAGCCCTACCTGAAACACCTCAGCTACGAGGTGTCCAGGAGGCGTCCTGGTTAGATGCCCAGTCTCAGGAGCTCTACTCTGAGTTCTTCTTGAATGACAGAGCTCCTCACCCCCGTCTTTAAGGGAGAGCACAGACACCCTTGTGAGGAAGTCCTTTTCCATCACTTGTATGTTCGATCTCACTACTCAGAGCTCATTGTTCATTGGTGAGGATAGGAATGTCGTACCATGAATTGGGGGCTCGTCCGGGATTTGAACCCGGGACCTCTCGCACTCCTAGCGAGAATCACAGCCCTACTTTACCACAATAGAAGGTAAAACATCCACATTACCCTCTCCATCAGTGTCCCGCTGCGTCCTCGCCTCACTCATGAACACGACGCAGAGATTTACATTTTAAAAAGAGGCAGACGTCAGGCGCTCGCATTTTTACTGTGACACTGAGAAACTCTCTGCTTGCGATCTTTATTGTAAGTAGGGTAAAAAATAGCTGGTTTGGCAGCGGCGGTGAGGTTGTGACACCACACAGCACGTTAGAAGATGCTCTCCCCGCCGGGGCGCTCGTCCTCTGCATTAAAACAATACCTGGAGACTTCTGTCTCATTCACTGTGAAGATAACTTCCCTCCTCCAGAGTTTCTGAAATCTCACCGCAGCAGCTGAGACCTCTCCGAGCGACGAGGTGTCTGCACGTATCTGTGCATAAAAAGCCTCTTTTATCTCCATTTGTATGTATGAGGGTGTGTGCGTGCTGCAGGTTGGTTGAGGGTGGGTGGTGCGGTGAGAGCCAGGGGATGCTGGGATTGTTTTTGAGTGCGCTCTATACCTCGCCTCCACCGCTGAGCTATAAACGGTTTGATTTCTGACGCTGCTTCTTTTTTTTTTCCTCAGTGTTTTATTCCGCTCAGCAGTGTCGGCTGTAGGTGGAGAGGAATTCCCAAATAGGATTTCTGTGGCAGTGATTAGATTAGTGCTCAGGCGAGGTCATCAGTGTTGTTCTTTGTGTTATTGCTCATGGAGTTATCCGTGTCCAAAAACGAAATAGTAAAAGGTGAAGTCGGCCTCACTTTGCTCCTGAACATTTCTGCTGCGCAGGCTGTTGAACCTCTTCTCAGGCGGAAAATTAGATTAAGTCAAAGGTTTGGATGTTTTTCCTCTGAAGTCAGATAAGATTTGGAATTTGAGGGAAGAACTTGGAAGGTTAGTCTTTAGTAGCGAGTTATTTGAGAGACATTTTCAGATTAAAAGCACCGTGATGTTGTCTGGTAGCTGTTTGTCCATGACCAGGTAAAACTGACTTCACTGGGGACACTGATGCTGGTCTTCCAGCAGTGTCCAGGTTACGTTAGCCTTAAGCCTTTTTAGTTCCTGGGTTGTTCCTGAACATCCTAACCAAATTCCTCTCGCCTGAGGGTGACAGTTTGCCCACGTCTGGAAGCAAAGTGGTGACGTATGTGAATATTTATTAGGGGTGCAACGATACACAAAATTCACGGTT